CAGGAGACGAGAGATACTGTCGTCCCTCAGGTTTCTGCTGCCTACAGCCAACATTTGTCTCTGTAAATTCTTTCCCAAGGCTTTTCCTTAGGAACAAGTTCTCACTGTGATGATCACATCACAGGTCACTGCTGCTTAAATCCCTGTTCCTACTTCAGATTGTGTCTTTAGGGCCATTCAGCTCTTGTGCATCTACTCTCATCTGCAATGAAAAGTGTGGGCAATACTGAATGTTTAAACACAGGTTGTATGGGAACTACGGAGTCAAAGCCTGAACCTCTGATTGATCACCTGAGGTGAGCCACGAGTCAGCCAGAGGAGCACAGTGAAGGCAATTCACCTGTGCTGCCAGAAGGGGTGGAGCCAGGCTGCACCCCTCCTAGACCTATTTAAGAGCTGGCTACCAGTGGGGAAAGATTTTTTCTGGAGATCCCTCCTTCTGGTGTTTTGTGGTGAGCCCAGCATAAGGGTAAGCCTTCCATTTATTCTCCTTTGTTATCATAATCTACTTCACCTAATTCTCTTGTTTATTCTGTGATTGTAACATCTTGATAGCCATTGATTATACATTGTGATTGTAACATCTTGATAGCCATTGATTATACACAGGTGTAACTCAATCTATAACATGATGTTTAAAAGTAGCATTCAGTACTCCTTCAAGGATGTGTAGCTGAAGGAAGTCAAAAGAATGGCTCTGGGGAGTATGATCACCTAACTGGGATTGTTAAGGCTTATGCTGCAATGGAAAGAGAACGTTTAATGATCAGGGCAATGATATGGCTCCTTCATGGCTTGATTTGTGCAAAGATGTGAAGGCTCTTCACTTCCATTGACTGTTACTGAATCCTTGAATTGTTCTTGACACATGCAGTGGAAAAACTTTAGACACAGAGTCAGCCAGAGAACTTCCAGAGACTTTGGAAGTGGACTTGCTGCTTGTTTGCTGGAGTTAACGTCTCGTGGCTTTGATGCCTGCATTACTGTCTGGACTCAGGGTGCCCATCATCTCTCTCACTAATCTCCCCTGCCACCTTAAGAGCAGCTCTTCCTCCAAGGACAAGATGACATTCCCCTGTAATTGCAGCTGGGTGCCAGACCTCAGGGGTGGCCCTGCCCGTGTGCTTGTTTGCTGCTTTGTCCAGCAAATCTTCATAGAATCATAGAATCACAGAATGGCTGAGGTTGGAGGGGATCTTAAAGGCTATCCACTTCCAGCTCCCTGCCATGGGCTGGTTGCTCCCGAGAAGATAGAGCTTCCCAGGGCCCCATTCTACCTGGCCTTGGATGCCTCTTCAGCCCTGGAAAGCTTTCACTCCCTCCCTAGCAAGCACAGAATCTTGCAGTACTGAAAGTGGAGGAGTCATGATCCTAAACATCAGCGAGACTTAGGATGAATCCCCAGCAGTGGTACATACTTTCTTTTTTGGGTTCAAATCTCTCTGAGCGCACCCAGTTGGAGGAGCAGCGGTGGCCAGTAGCCCTCACCCTGGCGTAGTAATGCTCTGTGAAGTTCTCTGTTTCACAAGTGAGATTGCAGAAGAGCTGTGTGATGCTCTGGCACTCCTGCTTGTTAAGCCAGGCTTTCTCTCCATACCTTTGACAGGACAAAAAAATTTTCAGGTTGTTTGGTAGAGTAGATGCAATACAGTCCTTCAGAATAATGCAGACAGGCTGCTCTGCCGACTCTAATAGTTTTAAAATTCATTACTGTAATTAGCAAGTGGCTGGGAATTAAATGGCAATCAACCCCCCCCGGGTACAGCCCTTAATCTATTCCCATTGGCACTTCTGCATGGCTGTTGCTTTGAGGAAGGACAGCTTGTTTCAAGGTGCACACACAGGAGCATCCTGCAAGCAAGCAGTTGCTGGGCTCTTTTACCCAATGACTGCATGCAGATTTGCTGCTGAGTTTGCAGACTTGCACAAATGCAACAAAAGTATAATGTAGTAGAGGGTGGAATTCTTGTAGCTCTGGTGACTGAACCAGAGGAAGGCAATTGCTATTAATGGCACTTACAGATTGGGAAACAGCAGAACAGAGAGAAGTAAGTTGCTGAAGGCAAAACTGTGTTATGGAGTCAAGGTGTAAAAGTATTGCTTAACTAAGCACCATCTGCCAGTTTAAATAATCCTATCTTTTACTGAATTCTTGTCTAAGCAGAACCATGCCTGTAACAGCAAAATAAGCAGCGGAAAGGGCAACACTAACTTTTCTTTCATGGCCCTTCTCTCTGAGGAAAGTGGCCATAAAACCCACCAAATCCCAAAAAGAAGCAAACTTCACATACTGTTTATACTGGACATCAAATACAGTGCCAGGAGGGATATCTGCTTCAGTTTCCCAAGTTAGGATGTTCTCAAAGTTTGTAGAAGAAAATGCCGCACGTTTCAGACATGACAACCTCTCTGTAGTCGCAATGCCTATGGTAACAAAGAAACCGTGTTAAAATGTGTATTTTAGCACCTCAGCCCTCAGATGAACATGAATCTATGGGTGCTCAGCCTTTTGGTGAACAGAAGTAGCAGACATCCCACTCCCAGTTTGTTAAAGGGGGGCTGCAAAGCAGAAGCTTGAACAGAAGCAGAACTTGGATCAGGCACGCTGCTGTGTAGGCCCTGCAGATCACTGGCTCATCACAAAGGAATGTAAGCCAGGAATTTATACAGAAGGGCTTCAAAACCTAAGAGTCAAAAAGAGAATGCAGGAGTGTCTTATCAGGTTTCTCTTAAAGCAGCTGAGTGGATGGAAAATGAAGAACAGACTGATTTTGAGGCTAGATTCATGTCTAGGAATGCCACTGCTGTCTGCCCAGACTCAGGGAAGTAATGTGCTGAGATCAGTTTCACACCACTGTGGGTATGACAGCCACTAACCTCCCACAATCTATGTTTTTTTGGGATGAAGACTGCCTGTGCAGAGTGACATGCCAAGAACCTGGGGCCTGGACTCTGCTCTGGGTGTGCCAGTGTAAAGCACACAGCTCTCCAGGCTCTCTGCAGCCTTTGGCCTGCCAGGGGCAGTGGGTTCTGGCTTTGCTAAGCAGCAGTGTCTGCTGTGTCTGATAAGCACATAGAGCACACCAGAACGGCAATCCACCTGTGACACATGACATATCCTGGAGAAGATGGGTTTCGTTCCATCGTGGGAACACAGCACAGAATTTCCTGAAGGATGATTCAGAAAACCTAACTGGGACAGTAACTTCAGAACTGATAAGCTCTGTAAATTCGAACTGTAGGCAAGTCCTCAAAGTTACACAGCACATACATTACTCTTAACTCTTGCTTTTCACTGTCAACCAACTCCTTGAAATAGTTTGGGCTTCAGCCTGCTCTTGCTGGAAAGGAGCAGCCCCCTTATGGCATTTGTAAACGTCTTCATCCCTGGAAAAAAGTGGTGTGCTAAGCAGGTAGAAGAAGCAACGTTTCACCTGTAGGAAAATTCATAACCAGAATGGAGGTGACCTGGACAAGATCCTTTCAGTATTTAGGGAGGGGATATAAGAAGAAAGGGGACAGAATCTTTAGCTGGGTCTGTTGTGATAGGACAGGGGAAAGGGTTTTCAACTGAAAGAGAGGAGATTCAATATCTAAGAAAGAAGTTCTTTACACTACAGACAGTGAAGCACTGGCACAGGTTTCCCAGAGAGGTGGTCGTGCCCCATGCTTGTAGACATCCCAGGTCAGGGGATGAGCACTGATGGAGTAGTGGGCATTCCAGTGTGCTGCAGAAGAGAGGGACCAGATGGCCTCAAGGGTCCCCTCCAACTCCAACAATTTCATGATTCCATGATTTGTTTATATCTCTTTTAAAATCAGAGCTTCTGGTTCTTCTGTTCACATGCCTCATTGCACAAGACAAAGGGACTGAACTCCGTAAATATCCATTGCTCTTCTGGGATTCAGCTTGTATTGTATCAGTGGCAAACACTTTAGATTGAAGGAGTCTTTTCTTATCTTTGAAAATGTTAAAAGGTAAGAGCAACACAGGAGAGAGCTTTTGGACAGTCTTGAATGATAGCTCGTTCTCTAGGTCTTACTTCAGGAAACACAACTGAACTACCTCCACTAATACAGATCCAAACTGAAACAACCACCATCAGAGATAGAAGTCAGGACTTACCGACCACTGAACACACAGCCAAGACGACCAGAAGTTTCTTCATGAATAGCAGTGCAAGGCGGGCTGGGAGAGCAGGCGGTTGAGCCAGTGTGCTGGTGAATCACCTTTTACAGCAGCTAAATTCTTGTTTGTGAGGCCAGGTTGGATTTGTTGCTCAGTAACTGGCTGCAGAGCTGCTGTCCCGCCTGCGTGCTCGTCTGAGATCACCAGCAAAAGATCTGTACGCATGTGTGAGCACATAAGAGAGCATTTAAGGGACAAACAGGAACACTCCTTCCGAGTGTACACACGTAACTGTACAAAGGTGCACAAGCCAGAGGCTTAGAAAATCCCCGTCTTTTTTCTTGAAAGAGAGCCAAATGCCATTTTCCTGGCAAAGAGCTCCTTGACTAAAGGCCCTTGTTGACATTTTTCAGTTTTGGGGCTTGCTTTTCTAGTTGGATAGCTTCAACTTTTTAAAACTCCGGAAGTGAATACTTACTGCTCTGCACATAGCTGGTATTGTAACTGCTGTGAACAAGACACCTATTTCCCTAGGAAATACCTTTTGATATTTTCCTGAAATGAAAGTCAAAATAGATCAGTAGTTTTTTTTAAGCTCTGCTGTTATTCATAGTGGGTGTGAATGGGAGCCAAATGACTCACGTGGCGTGCTGCACTGGGCGGAGCACAAATCGGGTCTGCCAAGGTGTGCATCCTGCTGGGTGGCTGCAGAGCATCTTCCTTTCACATAGATGGGAGGCTGCCTTCCTGTAGCAGGAGTGTCTTGCCGCTGCTTTTTTTTTTTTTTTTTTTTTTTTATAGCTTTTCTCATCTGTAGACCTACAGTTAATTTTAGCGGCTGATGACACTATGAGGGTCTATACTGGATATCATCAATATCATCCAATAAAAAACTACACATTTATATGAAATCTAAGCAAGAAACAGACATAGCTCATAGTTTTCCATTCCTTTCTTAGGCTTTTAGGGTGTTGTTCAGTTACATTTTCAACTTCTCTTCAGAAAAAGGGAAGACATTTCCTTCTTTAGCGAAAACCAGTAGTCTGTCTTCAGGAGCTGTGGATTTAGAACCAGCAGAAGTGTGTAAAACCAGAAGAACTGGTACTATCACATGCTGCTTATTTTTCCTATGATATCATCGGTAGAGAAAGCTTCACACGTATAGCCTAACTTGAAGCTTAGAAAGCTCTCTTAGGCACTGCTTTTGAATTTTTATCATCTAACTACTCATTCAACACAGACTGGGTAACCTCACTGGATTACTTTATCCCATGGACATAACTGTTGACAAAATGAGAAAGTCCTGTCCTGAGTTCTTGACTATGTGTAGGGCTAACTAGGCCACTGCATAAGGCTCAAATTCCTCCAGGCTTCTTCAGCAGCTAAGCAATAGCCAGGCTTGTTAGTGAACTGGATCACAGCTCTTCCAATGAAAGGGGAGAGCTTCTTTACTCATTGCATAGCTACAGCCATTAGGTAAGGTAGAAGGTACAGACTGACAGAGGGAGCAAGGTGCTCTGGTGTTCCTCGTCCTTTTCCAGTGGAAAGAAGGTCTCAAGCCTGGGCAAAGGACATCCAGGAGTGGGATGTTGCCTCCACCAGTAAGGCTCATCTGGTTGGCAGCCTTCCCACCAGCTCTCATCCTGGGAGAACCTGGACAAGACAGAGAATTGATCACAGGCCCTTTTGGGAAAGTTATGACACATCCAAGTAATTCTGTAGAAGTTACTCAACTTCTCAGCTTCCTGTAACTAAAGGCTTAGGGGATTTTCTTGATTGCACAAGAAATTGGTTGGTAATTATATTTGGATGATCTGTATCTTTCTAAATTATGAGGAGGGATTTCAATACAGGATGAACCTAAGGATACTTTGGGGGTGATGGGTAAGAAATAGAGGTTTCTACTCCAGTAATATTTTTAACCACCTCCTTCTTTAATTTTAAGGTGGGATTTTAATTAGTACGTCTTGCTCTCCTCTTCTGAAGCAGCCCCAGCACCTCATATCCCTCCCTACCTCTTTCTGATGTTGTTCTTCAGGTTCTGTAGAGATGTTAACTTTGATACCCCTTCCCTCACATGAAACAGTTTTGTTTCTCCCTCTTTCTTCGAACACATTGCTTTCCTCCATGTCCTTTTACTGGCGGGGGAGAAACCTAGGAGAATATGTTTCCATGAGATGCAAAGAGCACAAATTAAAAATAATCTGAAGAAGTCAGCATTGCCCAGCAAAGAGAGGCCCTGTATCTCCTGTGTCTTTTCTTGGTGGACTTCTGATTTGATTCTTGGCTCAGAGAGCTGCAATCCTTCTCTTTCAGTGACCCAGATGGAGACCTGGCTGGGAAGTCTCATACAACCCCACTTAGGAAAAAAAGAGTAGAAATGGAAAGCCTATGACAGAGTTCTGTTTTAAACTGCTTCTCAAGAATAGCTGAGCCACTCTTTGTAGATCTGCGAAATATGAAAGCACGCACACAGATTTATCTATGAAAATATATTACTTCTGCATATAGCATCTCCCAGACATCCTGCACAGCAGGGGAAAACAGTAAGTACATTTGTATAAAAAGCAAAATAAATAAATAAACATGCTACACATTTCTCACTGTGACTTTGTTTCACTCCACTGAAACATAGAAGGTGATCTCTGTAGGTTGATGGCAAATCTCAAGAGAACACAAGGCACTGCGTGTTTGCAATGTGATACCTACAGGAGGTACCACTGCATGCCTCGCCCCTGCTGGGCTCAGATGGTGTCCCATGTCATAGTTTTAACGTCTGTCACAGCTGTATTCCTACAGGGGCACAGTTAACGTACATTACCTAGCAGTAAAAATATACCTTTTGTGTCCCAAAGCCATATCTTTGATGACCAGACATCAGTAGAAAAAAAAGATCTTATCTAGTACCTAATATCTAATAAATTAAAAAGTATGTCATAAATTAAAAAAAAAAACACAAAACCAAAGACATCAAAAAGCAAACACAAACAATCCACAGCACTATCGATTATTTGTCCTTGTTCTTGTGCAGGTATCATTGCCTGGATTTGTATAGCTCTCTAGCATCTTCCAGGCATGCTGCAGAACTGCAAGGTATACTCTAGCTCCTTCTCATGTAATGTGAGTGCTGATAGCCTTTGAATTTAAACTTTTTATCATATCTTTTCTCCATATCTGAAGTTCTAAATGCATCACCTAGCACCGTGGATGCAGGAGGTGTTCCTCCTGTGCAATTCTCACTGTCACAGTCACTTGCAATACTTTCATCTTCTGCCACCTGTAATGTCTGAAAGTAAATGAGTTTCTCCATGGTGGGATCCTCGTTGAGCAGCGAGTTCTCACTGACCTGGACAGGCTGATCAAGTGTTGATTTCTGGTAATACATGGTAGAATCATGATCTTTCCTATATAGACAGTGTTCATCAGCTGGAAGCCTGGTGCAACTCTTGTTCGCTAGTGGGTGAAGAATGCTCACTTCCAGGCAGTCATCGCTGTCTGTATCATGCTGTCCATGTTCCCTGGGAGCTGGGAATCTCACATCAGCGAGTGATACTCTTCCCAAAGAGGAACTGTGAGAATGTGATGCCTTTTCATTTCCTTGGGATCCTGAGGTGTCCCCCTCATTCTTTCTTGTGGGAAAGAAAGAGAAACCCAGGGCACTTAAGTCAAATGCGGATCCACCATCCAGAGAGAGACCTCCAGATGTGGAGCCCAAGATAGTTTCTGCGTCAGCTGTTCTGGATGTTTGACAGATGAAGTGTCTCCTTGGAAACTGAAGCATTTCAGTGTATGGTATGAAACTACTACTGTCTTCTTCCTCTTCCTCCTCTTCCTCTTCTTCTTCTGATGATGATGATGGTAGGAAGGAAGCCATCCATAGTTTGTTGTTTTGTGCTAGAGTTTTGTTTTTCTTCCCTTGTGACACTGGCCTATCTGTGCAGATAAGACAGTCTGCGAGGAATTCATTTTCTTTGCGCTCACAGCAAAAGGTTGGTCCAGCAATTTTACAATTAGATAAATCCTATCAGAGAAAAGACACAAAATAGGTCAGTGATGCTTTTCAAAGAAAATTTTGGATACAGGATATGCCAGAATCAAAGCTGTCTTGTAAGGGGACTTCTGAATGCAGAACTGAGAAGCACAGACCATAAGCAACTTTTACACTCCCTCCCAGATACCCTCTGAAAATCAGCCAGACTTCGATCCGGGAAGGTACTCCAGCATTTGGGCCATACCAAAGCTTGAGGCATCTGCTTATGCTTTGCATCTTGTTTCAGCAGCCAAATGGTGGAGGCACTTGTCAGAAGGATGAGGAGGACACAGACCGGGATCATGGCGGAAAAAGGGAACTTCCATTCCCCTAGTGAAACAGAAAAAGACAAAAACAAATTTCATGAAGGTGGTATATTTTATGCTAATAACACACACCTTTGTGTCTTGGTCAGCTTTGCTTTCCAAGATCTCTGAAATTGTTAAGACTCGAGATCCTGTTTTTCTAGAGAAAAGGATGGCAGACATGCCTAAGACCAGCCTCTAAGTCAGAAATGTTAGAAATGATTGTTGATACCAGCCAGTGCCTTAATCAGAGGAGGTAAAAAGGTAAAAAGTAAGGCTTTATTGATTTCTTTTTTCTCTCTGCCAGGAGAAATTTGAAAATTCCCAAGGCTTTAGTGGTAGCATAACCCAAGTATAATAATTCAGGATTTTTGGGAAATATCTTAGGACTGGATATTTCCAATGAAAACATTGCTACAGAAGGCAGAAACCTTTTACTTGAAAATCCAAATCCAAACAATTTAACAGAAAGCCTTTTTTTTTTTTTTTTTTTTTTTTTTTTCCTTCCGAGAAGCTGATTTTGATGGAATTCTTTGACATTCTGTAACCTCATCTGATATCTTAGTACATCCTTCCTCAGGAAGATCATACCTTTATGGTTTAACAGCATGCACACCGGCTGAGAGAATTTGCTGTGCTTGAAGTCGATGCTTTGAATGGAAGATCTGGCATTCAAGCAGTAATTGCCTCTGAGTGCAGTGGTGTCGATAGTCACTGCCTTTTTCCTAAAGATACTTTTGTATTGCTTCTGTTTGGAGACAAAAGGAACAGAGGGTTAGAAAGATGACTCTTTCATTTTTGGGATGGTGTTTCTCTACCCTTTTTGCCATGAGTCTCATCGTCCTGTTTGCATGGCACCAGTGGTTGGAAGGTGCATAGTGAGGCACTTGCCTTGCTTGCTATTTGTAGTAAGCATCTCTTCATGTCTGTGCTATGCTTTTTGCTGCCACAGCTATGCTGTTAGCAGCACCCAAACTAGCTGTTCTAAACCATGGATTTTTCTCTGACTGTTCAGTTGCTTCTGAACATCACATCTATAATAGATAAAAATACAGCAAGAAACGGAACTACCAATAAAACGAAGATACTGAATGTAACACACTCATATATTTTCCAGCTTTAGTTAACTCTGGTTTGGCCATTTCAAATTTCTCTGGCAAGCCTCCAATCACTCCCTGCATAGATATTTGCATCTATTTCATTTCAGCTTCATTCCTCTGTTTCATCTACACAGTACTTCTTTTACTGACCTTGTCTTCAGATCCAGCTTCCCAAAAGTTGAAGTCATACATCCAAGATAAACTCTCCACACAGATGGCCATAGGAAAAGTGGCACTCACATGGATTACGTCTTCCTTTACATTCATGTTTAGCAGTGGGGGAGCCAGTTCCACTACAATTGAGTGACAGACATAAGAATAGTGCTTGCTGACATCGTAGTTTCACAGAACTAATGTTTTATTTGGCTGATCTAAACTTCTAGCTGATATCTTGTGGTGGACATGAGGGAAGGAGGTACTTTATTTTATGCTAATAATGGACACTTATGGTCAGCTTTTCTTTCCACGATCTCTGAAGTTGTTAAGGCTCAAGATCCTATTTTTCCAGAGAAAAGAAACAGAAAGGTGAAGGAACATCTCATTTTTTAATGTAACATAACTTCAGTGATACTGTCTTTCTGTTGTGGTGAGCTTGAAACCACTTCATTCACATAGAGCACTGATGAAACAAATTCTGATACCAGCCACAAAACTTAATTTCAAATCATCATGGCTCGTTGTTGCTTGTGCCCACTCAATTCTGGCGTTCATAAAGCTTCATGTTTCTCTTCCTGGTTTAACTAATTTGCTCATGCAGACACTGTTGCTGGGATGTCCTTCCAGCCAGGCTGTACCTAACAGACACTCACCATCTAAATGGTACTCCTTGAACTGTGATTTTACCCATGGCGAATGGAGTCGTCCAGAAGCGGCTTTTACTTGAGCCCGGAATTTAATGAAGAAGTTTGGAATCACACACGTGAGGTTGCAAGAGATACTGTGAATGTTTCTGCAATGAGGAACCTTTATCCATTTGTCCATGCGTGTCTTGCTAAAACAAGAAACAAATGCACCACATCAAACATCTTTTGTTATAATTTATATGGCAAGTGAAGGAAATGTTTTTCTGCATGGATGCTGAATCTTGCTGAAAGATTCAGCATCCATGCAGAATGCTTTTCTGCTTTCCGGACAGAAAAGGATTGACTTCGGTGAAAGGATGCAGTCAGATCACTGATCATAATGACTCTGATTAAGCACACCCAGAGATGTTTGCTGTGTGCCATACTTCCTATCAGATCCCTTTGTAAGCACTCACCTTTCATATCTCACAGTGTATGACACATCTGGTGGATATCCTTTTCCTGGAGTCCATGTCAAAATCATATCAAAATCCTTTGACAGTAATGTAACATTTTGAGGAGGAGGAAGTTGACCATGACCTGATCAAAAAGGAAAATTAAGTGAATTATTAAACATTGCTTTGGAAATAGGAAATATCACTTGTTGTTGACAAAGGTGGTTTCAAAATTTGGGGCACAACAGCTCAATTCACTTATGACTGTAAACTAGTTGAGGAAACAGGTATGTCTGTGATGTTGCGTTTTCCTCACCTCACCACAAAACATCTTCATCTCAACAGCTGTCAGAATTAGGACTGCAACGTGTGTGAGCCATCCAATTCTGTAATTGGAGCAGCATCCCCCATAGTTTCACTGGATTCTCCTGTGATCTGTTTTACAACCCCACAAACTCCAGCCTGACTCCCTTGTTCTCTCACATCCTGAAGCTCAGATCAGGCACAAACCACTGGGTCACTCCACCCATCCACTTCCAACTCATAAAGGCAGACATGTCACAAGTACAGCAGGATGCAGCATGCAGGCTCACCACTTGCACTTTTTGGCACCAGCTGTTTCTGGTAAATAAACACGTACATTGCAATATTCAACAAGACATATTCAGTAGTCAGATAACTGGCACTGCTGCCCAAAGAGGTTGTGGGTGCCCAAGACCATGGATGAGCCCCTGAATTGGTGGGGGGCAACTAGCCCACAGTAGGGAGTTGGAGTGGGATGGTCTTTAGGGTCCTCTCCAACCTCAGCCATGCTATGATTCTTTGATTTTAAATTGCCATTTCTTTACAGTGAAATGTTTTACTTTATGAAAATCATTCCCATCCTTACTGCTTTCAACATGTTGTCTATGTCTTCCCTCCCCCAAGCAAATACACATAGCCCAGCAAAGCGAAAGTGACAAAGCCATGACATACCTCTGGGCTGCCACAGGAAGCACAGAACTGCCAGCACTCTGATTCTCCATGCAGACATACTGAAGCAGAACTTTTCCACATGAAATTTATTTCTTTCCTTGCTACCTTGTCATTGTATTGTTTTCCTGTACTAAGTTGTATAGATGGTGGAGGAATATGTGGTTAATTACTGACACGCATGTGCACAGCTTCACTTCCTTGTGCAGCCCATGCGTGGCACTACTCATCGAACTGAAGAGGGAGCAGAGGTGAGACTGCTTAGGATGAAAGCAGAAATGCTGCAAAGATTGCAGCACAATGCCCTCCGGTGTAACAGAGTTGATCTCTGGAATGGGCTACGTGAGAACAGAACATGGCATGAGCCCTTTCCTCTGAGGCACCTCGTAAAAAGTGACCTTTGGAATTTACCTGTGTGGCTGTCAAATATTTATAGAAATCAAACAACGTTTTACTGCATGAGATACCTGATAATAACCTAGCAGGTATAGAAATCTGTTAGCAGAACTATGTGAAGTTATGTCAGTCTCATACTTACGAGAAGCCAAGGTGTATTCTCTCAGTGTATTTTATCAGGCCAAGAGTATGTTCTACAAGATACAGAATGACGCCGTGCGGAAAGCAGAGTGCAGAGCTGGGATGCTCCATGTTTGGATTTTGCTCTGAACCAGGATGAACAGGACAAAGGGGAGTGGCATCAACTAAAAGAGGGAGGTTTGGGTTAGATGGTACCAAGAAATGTTTTGCTCAGAAGACGGTGAAGCGCTCGCACTGCTGGCCGGAGAGGTTATCCATCTCTGAGCTCCATCTCTGAGGGCGTTCAGGGCCAGGTTGGGCGGGGCCGGGCTCTGCGCTGCTCTCCCAGCTCCGGTCGCAAGGAGGCGCTGCCGCCCGGAGAGATGAGCCGCGCTCCGGCCGCGGGTACTTCCGGAACAGACTACCGGAACCCACTCCTACTTCCGGAACCTACTTCCGGGTGGACGCTGTGTGCGCGCCACACTCTGTGTAGTGGGATTGGCCGTCCCGTCCCACTGGGCGTTGACCCCCCCCTCCGCCTTACCTGCACGGTACGCAGAGCCACATCTACAGGGATGTGTGGGGCAGAACGCTGCTGCAGCCGTCAGTGCGCTGCTGGGAGCCTGGCGGTTTGCACATAGCGACCATGCGGCTGCTGCAGGGTCTGGGCTTAGTGATGCATTGGTGCATCCATCACTGCGCAAATCCCGCATTCTCCCACTGGCCTACTCAGTCATGTCCATGCTTTGGTACAGGGGTTGTCCCTCCTCAGTGCGCTGTACCTGGGCCTCTGCGTACAGCTGGCAGCTGAGGAACACATTGTTTTGCCGCCTCTGGCCTGTCCGCGCTACATGATTCAGACTAGGAGGGCAAACCCTGTCTGAGTAACCTTTCCTGCCCGATCCCTTCCTGAGGAGGGACACTGCAGGAAGCGTGCTGCGGGGCGGTCACTGCATGCTGTGGTGTGGCTTTGTGAAACCGCTGGGGGGACTGGCCGGCAGAAAGTGCTGTCATGCCACTCCTTCCTGCCCTGCCCCACCCGCGCACTGGTCCTGGCAGGGCGCTGTGTGCTGCGTGCTGAGATCCAGGTGAGAAAAAGCCCACGTGTAAGCAACGCTTAATAAGGCATCTCTGGTCTGAGTGGCACCATGGGAAACCAAACCATAATGATCCATAACTAAAAGTTAAAGAACATTTCAGTTGACCACAATTTGCAGGAAGGATTAGGTGTTTTCTGCTTGGTTTTGTGTCCAGACTCCAAGCACAGGAGGGATGCAGAGATGTTGGAATGGGTCCAAAAGAGGGCTGTGACAATGATATGAGGGTAGGAGCACCTCTCCTATGAAGAAAGGCTGAGGGAGTTGGGTCTGCTCAGCTTGGAGAAGAGAAGGCTGCAGGGAGACCTCACTGTGGCTTCCTAGTACTGAAGGGAGACTGTAATGGGGGACCAACTTTTTACACGCTCTGATAGTGACAGGACAAGTAGGAATGGCTTTAAACTAAAGGAGGGGAGATTTCGATCAGATGTTTAGGAAGACATTATTTACTAAGAGGGCGATAAGGTGCCGGCACTGCTGCCGAGAGAGGATGTGGATGCCCCATCCCTGGAGGCATTCAGGGCCAAGTTGGTTGGGGCCTTGGGAAGCCTGAGTTGGTGGGGAAAATGTTTTCCTCTTTCTGCTGAAAAAGAACAAATTGCTATTGGTAATGAGAGGGTTAAAAAGTCGGCAGAGCTGAGTGATGCCAAATAAAATACAGCAGTGTCCCCTTGACCCAGACAGGCATCTCAGCAACTTGTCACCAAGAAAAAAAGAACAGTCTTGATTTGGTTTTTAAACCAAGCCTGGAAATATTTAAAATGAAAAACAAAACAAACGACATACCATATTTTCCATACAAATGCTACAAATTCTTTATTTCTGGTTTGGGATTTTTCAAGGAACTCAGGGTCGCCAAAGCACACACAGCAGCTATAACTGATGCAGTTCCAGATACAAGGCTCACAATTAAAGAATGTATGCTCAAAGTCTGCTTCTGCATGGTAAGGAGAGTACAGTAATCCCACAAAGACACCTGGACCCTGTTAATCCCAACAGGGTGTAAAATACTGGATTTGTGTCACAGCTTCATTAGGCCATTGTGCTTTGGTAGGTAATAAGGGTGCTTGGGTAAAGCCTCGGGAGCTTCCCAAGAGAGTGCAGCATTTCCAGCTGTTTCATACCTGCACAAGCAGTGTGCAGTCACCAGTCAGCAGACCCTCCTCCCTTACCAACCTCATTACCACTAACGCTGCAGTCAGGTGGAATGGGTGCTGCTGTGTGCAGGTGAACAGCTGTCCTGACTGCAGCTCAGACAGATGGGCAGGGGCCTTTACAGGCATCACTGTCACTTCCAGGTTCAGATCTTCCTCTCTTTTGGGGAGGGCAGGTTTGATGCATGTCTTTCCCTTTTCCAAAGGGAAAGACCTTCTCTTCATCTCTTGTCCCATGACAGTGGCGTGGACCATTGTACTTGCCCTGTCCCCGGCTACTTTGTTGTGAAACAGGTGCAAATCTGCAGGGATTTTTTTTCCTCAGCAGGAGAAGCCCCTGCTGAGTAAGGCAAAAACCCTGCTCTCATTGGGATGAGCCCACTCCCTCCCGAGAGTTTGCTAATTTGTTCACAGCAAACAAATAATGAAAAGAGTCTCCTGTGTGCATGTTTAAGGGACGTCGGAAGAGCCTTGCCCCTGATGCAGGAGTGGTTGCTCATGCTGTGGCTCCAAACTGACTTCATTTTCACCTTCCCTGTGACCTGCTTTCTGCATGCAGCCATGTGGTGTGCAAACATCGTGCTGCCTTGCCGAAATTCCCCTGCTGCTATCCTTCATGGGCAGCTGGCTGCATCACCAGAAAGACAACCACTTGCTTCTCCAGCAGGGCCAAAAACCTGCCACCTGGTTTTCTACCACAAGTGAATTAAATGCAGTAGTTATATGGATCTCAGGTAAAGCCGGAACTGCAACAGAGCAGACTTATTTTGGGTCCCAGCCTGAAATCATGGACTCGTCCTGTCTTTGTGCCCCCACACCAAGCAGCAGGGCAGCAGTGTGAGATGGCACTGTTCAGGCAGTGGACTCAAGTCACTGCAGGGTTTTATGCTTTTCTCATGTTTCTTGAAATCTGTCCCCTCCCCTTTACAGCACCTTTTTATTCATGCTGAAGGCAGTCAAGGAGCTTGCCTGGACTTGCAGTAACGGTGAAACTCCAATGCACAGAGTCAAATGATTGCTAGCCCGCAGTGCAGATACAACAACACGGGAACCTCCTGGGGGCACCGTGCCTCTCGAAACCCCCACCTCTCACCGATCAGCGTGGGAAAAGCGGTGGGGACCCTGCGTGTTCCAACAGAGAGAGTGACTTATTTCTAGCAACCTGTCTGTTGTATTCTCTAAGCCAAACTATGCTCTCGGGGATCATCCCACAGGCTTCAGATGCCTTGAGAGCATTTCTGTACTGTGTGCCATGCCACCCTGCCTAATTTGGGGGTTTCTCTGTGGGCCCAGGACTGCAGGATGCAGTGCATTGGCCATTGTTATGAGGCTCTTCTTCCTCTTTCTGGACAGGGGATGCAGGGATCTCTACATACTCCTTTCAACCAGGAAACACATTTTGTCTTTGGTGGATTTCACTCAGTGGTGGAGTGAATGCACACACTGGGAAGGGAACACACGACATTGGGAAGCTATGTATGTACTCTGTCTTTAATGTGGACATCAACATTAGGTGAATTACTGCTCAAGGGGGTGTGTAGGGTGCCCAGAGGTGGATTTCCATGCTGAGGCAGCGAGATGCTGTTCTGCAACCACTTGTAGCGGCAGCTGCACTTCCTGGCAGGGAGGGCAACATTTGTTTGAATGTTTGCAGTGTTTTGCATTGTAGTATTTGGATGCCAAAGCTATACAGTGCTGTAAAAGTTAATTAGCCAGATAACTAATTAAAGACTTCTCCTTTTTATTGTTGCCAACTTGCAGTTCGGAAAGGGGCTTGTGTCAAAGTAGATGCAACCACACATCCCAGTGAAAGAAGTGGTACACTATTCAAGATCCAATTACCCATTTAGGGGATGGATGAGGGAAAATCCCATCATGGTCTGGGAGAAGGAACATCCCAGTCCCATGCAGGAGCAACACAACTGAGTGGGTTCTGTATGCCTCTCCAGAGAGGCTCTTGCTGTGAAGGGGAGGGCAGCAGTCTGGAACTGAATGTGATGGACAGGATTTGGAGGTGCCAACAGACATCATGGCGGTGGAAGAGTCCCCAGGAGGTTGACGTGTCCTTAGGGACTTTGTTAGATCTCCCTGTCAGAGCTCCAGGCTGGTGGGACTCTGAGCTAAGAGAGGATGTTCCCTGCTGTAAGGACACAGGCAGGCTCTGCTTGTAAGACTTGCTGGTGGATGGTCCATGCTTGCTCTGCTGCTCTGCTGCCCTTGGGATGTCCCCATATTCTGTGGGTACCACTGGAGCAAGAGAGGACCAACCAGATGGTGCCCTCTTAAGTCTGTCTCATTTCCATCGGTTACTGCAGAGGAGATTTGTAATATTTCTTTAAAAAGGCATCACCAACAACGTAGTATCACTCAATTTGAGTTCCTTTATCAGTGGTATAAGGGAGTGTTTCTAGTTGCTCCAGCACTGTCTTGACCTGCCGATTACTGGGGTCATTTTGGCCCCAGGGAATAAGAAACGAGAGAGTGGAGGGTGGAAAAGCCGGGGTGAGGTTTGGGCTTCCTGGCCTGGCCACCAGCCAGGAGACGTGCTGTAACTGCATGGCACCAGGCCCAGAATTTCCAGGAGGGCTGAGCTC